TACTGCAAAAAGTCTCGAGCCACGTTCTAGGCTCACATTGTTTGCAGCATTGAATGAAGTGAAGAAGAGAGTGTATTTGGCTGGTTGGAAACACTAACTATAAAATTCTTACGAGCTCAGAAAATCACCAGCTGAAACTGGTGCAGACAAGCGCCAGAGATACCATAGTATGAAAGCCTCTTTGTGAATAGAGACATACGCTTTATTTAATATATAAGTATATAATATATACATATATAAATTTAGGAACTACCTCGATCTAGAATAAGAAACAAAAATTGCTAAAAATAGTCAAAAGAATCCGAGATATCTCTTGTTTATTTTTTATATAAAACTCCAACTAATCCGAATCCGAATCCGAAATCCAGGTGAAGAAAAAAATAACGTATATGTACTTATCAAATGAGGTAAATATAAATTTGCAGAATTCATGTGGAGAGGATTTTTTTGTATAAGTTGTATTAAGCATAAACTTTTTAATCCATCAATAGCACTGCGAACTAATAATTGAGTCTGATGCTGAGTAAACTTCTTTCCCAATTAGCTTTATAAAAATAGTAATGTTTATCAAATTATTAATATTTTGACCAATCGTTATGCCATTCAGTGTATGAGAAGATTCCATTCATGTTTCATGATTTCAAATTGTGTACAAAATATTTTCTTAGTCAACTTAATTCATTGTGGAGTAAATTGTCTACTTGACGCTAGATGGCGCCACTTCAGCCAGTTCAATGAAGTTGCCGTAACAACTCTATTATTGTCCAATAAGCCAATATCAATTAACGTCATCGACTGTCCAGCTGTGCAAAGAGCTGCAACCGAAGATGACGTGAGATATGAAACGCTCTAAAAACAATAAAAAGCTGAACGAAAAAAAAAAAAAAAAGAAAAAAACAAATCAATTTTCCATTCTGAAAAGGCAACGGCTGCTGCTGCTGGTTGCTGCTGATGCGTAAACGTGTTGAGGTTGAAAATATTGCTGTTGCTATCGATTGTTGTTGGATGGTTGCCTGTGCAGGCTCACACCTTAAATGGTGGCAAGACCAAATGCTTCTGCTGCTGCGGCTGCTGCTGCTGCTGACAAGCTCGAGTAACTCAAGAGCCTGTGATTATCTGTGCGAAGAAGCGAGAAATATTTATGTACTGATGGCTGGTAGCAATCATTGATGAGGATACTGCTTCTGCGGCCGATATGAATGGTACCAATAGTGATCTTATCTCAGCCCGCTATGGCCACTGGCCACTGGGTATTGATATTTTCCAAGGCATAGGCCACGCCATCTTGCCACAAATGCTTCTGATGGTTGCTTGCGTCGCAGGAAGCACGCTTTGTAGCTACAAAAGAATCTTATGAAAATTCATAAAAACAACTACAATCTATCAAGGGGTCGCTAGGTAGCTAGATAGCTACCATTGCAGTCGTTGCTGTTGCCGTTGCCGTTGCCGTTGCCGTTGCCGTTGCCGTTGCCGTTGCCGCTGCTGTTTCTGCTGCTTAGCCAAGCAACAGGTGTAATAATTGAAACCGCCGCATGGAAAACGCTAATCACGCTCTGACTGCTCCGGCTGCTCCAACTGCTCGCGACTGTCAAGCAAATTATGAGCCAGGCGCGGCTCGAAGCTACCCATCATCTGCTGCATTTAGTTCTGTTCCATGGTTACTGTTTGCGGTTCCGCTCAGACGGCGCACTCAGCTTCGGCATTAACTCAAGCAGAAGCTGTAAAATTACAGCAATGCCCGCTACCTTAATGTTCTTGCCCCAATAATAGCAATAATATAACTCATACGCCGATTAGCACACGCACTACGAAATGTTGAAATGTTGAACTTTGCCTGTATATCCTGGCTGGGCGATTTCCCACGCTCCTGCTACAGGCCCGAGACCTGCCTTAATTAGCGGCCGTCCAACCGTTGCCCGTTGTCACACCTGTGCGTCGCGGCTGCCACATTTCGGTGGTTGCTTCCCAAATGACTTACGCATTTCAAATAGTCCAACCAAATTTACATATCAATCGCCCGAAAAGCTGCGCCTCATGCTGATAATTATCTGCAGCCCTGTGAGTACGAGCAGCCACATGAGCACCTCTGGGTATTCTGTCGCTTATAATTGAATTGAAGAGCAGCCGGCCAGAGGTCACAGACGCTGCACATATGCAGCTGAATTATCAAAGACTGCGCTTCCAACACCAAGCAACAAAGTTGTCGCTCAAAGGCCTAAATAAGAAGAGATGAGGCACTCGCATACTTCAGAGTAAATATATATGTAAGGAATACAAATTCAAGAAATAATGGTTTATTTGATATCTGCTTTCAATATATTTTAACACTATTTCTAGAAGTAACAATAGATATTTACGATGTTTACAGTCCAATTTAATGGACCTGTTGCATAGTGTTATTCGCGCGATCAGGCGACGCGTGAGCTTAGCGGAGTCGACGTCGACGCGGGCAGAGCCACCTGGGCGCAGACTGCACACAAAATAATGCAAATTATCGTCTGGAATTGCACGAATGGTCAAGTGCATGCAGATGTGTAAATGGAGATACTGCCGCCGCTGCGCTCATAATTGAGTTGCAAATGCATCGGCCGGCGCTGCTGTTAGGCGGCGTCTTCGATGGCTTTGCTCTATCTGGTGGTCGCGCTGTGGTCTTGAGCTACGTTCCCAGGCTACTGCAATTTGAAAAAAAAAAGAATGAAAAGAAACAGAAAGCTAAAAAAAAAAACAACATTCAAATACGCCCTTTTACAGATAATCATCATAATTATCGTGCAACAATAAATAAAATACAAATATAAATATATCTAAGCAAATTACAACAATTAGGCAAAGTTACGCGCTCCCAGCACACTTGGGCAAGAGCCCCCGGTCTCCCAAAAAAAAAAGTAGTATATATGTATGTGATTGCTGCCAACTTTGGGTATATAGAGTTTAAAATCGTTACATTGTACAATTTACTATCTAAAATACAAGAAGCATAATTTTCACACGCGTTTAATTTTCGGGTGCACACACACAAATTAGGCAGAAAAACTCTAAGAGACCCAGCGCCGAAAAAAGCAAAGGCCTGAGCTAAATTTGCTGTATGCGAGGGCTGCTTATGCAGTTAATAATAAATAGCGTAGTATAGAATTCCAAAAAAGTATCAGCAATTGTGCGTAAAATGCATTATCTCAACTATGGACAATAATAATCTCTATGCCTTCCCAAATAATTATCTGCAATTGCAAACTCACCAAATATTTTGTGATTCAAATAGCATCTATTTTTTTATAAGTCTATTTATTTCTAAAAATTTGCGAACTTCCGCTTTGCCTATCGTAAGTGTGCAAAGCGGCCCTCGCATCTACAATTATTATTGTAAGCATTGTTAAAATGATTGTAGCAGGGTTATTGTTGTTGTTGTTGGTGTTAGTGTTGTTGCGTGGTGCGGCGACGACGACTAAGCCCATGCCCAATGCCTCAAAAGCGGAAACTCATTGGCAACGCTTCGTTGCGTAAATTTCTCAACGCGACTTTTCGGGCAACAGGTTACAAAAAAAAAAAAAAAAAAAAGCACAAAAAAAACACGCTGCAAAAAAAATCCAAAATCTGTCGGCAAAACCACCAACAAAATGGTGGCCGGCGACTAGACAACTAATGCAAAAATAAAAGAAGAAAAAAAAACACACACAAATAAAAAGAGAAACAAATATTTTAATATTTCAGTTACGCTTCGGTGAGCTACGACATCGTGATAGGCAGGCTCTGCATAGGCATCTTCAAATATAACCAACAACATGAGCATTTTGAATTGCCAGAGCGAGACAGCTAGTTGGATCAGGAAAAGAGACAAACTGTATGTGTGTGTGGGGGGAGGCAAAGCCGCAAAACAAAGGGTAGATCACAGACCCCATAGATCTGCGCCAGATTCGAATCTCGTGCCAAGCCACCACAAAGCGGCGAAAGACAAGCAACAGCAACAACAACAACAACAACGATGACTGTACCTGCCAACTACTGGTATATAGCCCGAACACCTGAGCATTTCTTTATGGATCTTGAGCAGAAAACCTATCACGGCGTAACGTCATTAAAATTGGGCTACGATAGCAGCATAAGTTAAGATGTAAGGGTTCCCGATTGCTACCAGACCCCCTGCTCAGCTACCAAATCATGAGGCCATATCGCGTATAAAGTCTGAGTTGTACCTGTTGCTCGTGCCACAGCTACATATATGTTGTTCTATTGGTTACGCTTCGCTGTCGGGGCAAAGATTGCATAGGCGTTGTAGTATTTGATTTTGGATGGTAGTGTACTACATGAAAGCATCTATGGCTATATGGTTTCTGCCTCTACACGTCTCGAAGCTTCGTTGCATGTGTGGATTCTCACGTAATTARCGCCAACAACAACAATGCCATATAATTAGCCCAGCTGCAAAGAATACTTACTAAGAATTATGCATACTACAAAAACAACAGCAACATCATATTATTGTTATAGAATATAAAATACGCAGGTGCTCGCTGGGTGCCTAGGCCACCCCAGAGCCCAGCAACTGTTGCTGAAGACGTTTTTGAGATGAACCAGCTGTGATAGTTAGTTAACCGTTTAATGACTTTTCTTTTGAGAGTCTTCTGATGCCATTGGAAGATTTCCCATAATTGTCTCCATTCAAGATCACATCTTTCGCTGTGCATCGCGCCTAATCTTTGGTCTAATTAACTGCAATTTTCCCAGCTCCCCGACTGGGAGAGGGTTTTCCTTTCTCCCTTTTATTCGCTCTTCATTTACAACAAAATACGAAAACACTTGATTCATTATTGTACCTATCATATACTAATATTGTATAATACACCAATAATAAATAATTGAAATAGAACTAAACTCATCTCAGCTGATAAGAGAACCCAAAAATGAGATGCAAAAATAAATCGAATTGTACTCTCTTTGAGTTTGACTCTTATCAATACGAATTCGTTAAATAGATTTCAGTATTGCTTGAGCTGCCACAGACATTAGATGAGAGTGAGCGGAATATGTTGAGCTTGTCTTTTGTCCTCCTTATCTGCTTGATCGAGAGCGTCGCTGCAAGTACTCCAGATGCTTACATTCTAAGAACACGAAGGTAAATAAATTTATTAGTTAAATAAATCAATATAAACTCAAACACTTTCAATGAAGTTAATAAGCTACTGACCAGTCTGAATATAATATACACAGAATTTATAATTATATCCGGATCTCTGGGTACACTGGAAGTTATTTTCAAACAGAAAATCGAGTTAACGTTCAAATTCCCCCCATTAACCAAACAAGAGCTTTATATATCTATGTATGTATATCCACACAGTCTGCCCCCAGATCTTAATGTTATGCCTAGCCTGTCGAATGGCCATCTAGGCTATACGGTATTTGGCAATGCCATATTCATGAATGGCGTATACAATGGGGCTGGCGGGAATAGTAGGCGTGCTCGTATACCCAATTGGATTAATATAACTGCAGAATTATGTGATCCAGCTGGCTGTCAAGTTAACAACGAACATACCGATATCAGCTTTGAGATGGATTTACGTGGCGGCTACTTCAAATACAGAAAGGAGTACTCATCTCTGGGCTTGACTCTGGAGCAACGCACTTATCCGCATAGGTATTATAATAGAGCGCTGGTTTATGAACTATTAGCCCACAGACATACGAGTATTCCATTAAATCGAAGTGAGTATGCGCATAGGAATTCCTACAACTCTATATATGTTCAATAATCTATATTGGATCTCTTGCTGGTGCATATCTGCCCCACGCAGACACTCAGTATGTAAAGCTTAGCCAATATCCAGGCAAAGTTAGTGACGCCTTCAACTTCGAAGTGCTCAACAATGGGAGCTTTGCTCTCGAAGATTACCGCACTCTGCGCGGAGTTACCAAAGTTTTGGAGCTGAAGCAATTCCAGCCAAGTCCTCATGAAATTTATGTGATCTTCAGTGAGCCATTGGAGCAGCCACGTATACTGGATTGGCCCACGGGGCAGACGGAACTGCGCCATCGAATCATCATTTGCATGGATCGTCAGCAAACCGTTGCCCAGAAAGAGCTGCAGGATTTGCTCCAGCTGAGTCCAGCTGCAATGCTGCAATCACATGTTAACGCATGGACTGACTTTTGGGATAAACAGTTCTCCATCGAAATCATTGGCAATGCATTAGAGCTATCGCGCATTGTCAATGCGGGCATCTTCTACATGGCCAGCTCCTTGCCAGCGCTGAGCAGCCATCAAGCGAATGAGCCCTACGATGGATTAAGCCCTACAGGCTTGGCACGTGGCAATTTGGACGCCGACTACGAGGGACACAGCTTTTGGGATACGGAAATTTGGATGTTGCCCGTCGTTACGCAGTTCAACTATGAGTTTAGCAAACAGCTGCTCGACTATCGCTACAATCATCTGGAAGGCGCCAGATTTAATGCTCGAACAATGGGCAACAGGGGCGCAAGGTGAGGTATCTGAATGGGAGAGTAGGGATTCCATACTCAGATTCAGTCTGTTACCTACTTTACTCGGTAATCCTCGTTTTTTGTAGATTTCCCTGGGAGAGCGCCTTCACTGGCACTGAGGTCATCAATCCCTGCTGCCTGGAGATCGCTCAACAGGAAATTCACATCTCGCCAGATATATCCTTTGGCCTGCAGAAGTTCTTTGCACAGACAAATGATTACGCCTGGCTATGCCAGCGGGCCTGGCCCATAGCTGCTGATGTGGCCGAGTTTCTGGTCAGTCGCTCAGCCTGCGAAGATACCTGCCACTTCTTGAACGTCATGGGCCCCGACGAGGATCACAGCAATGTGAATGACAACGTCTACACCAATGCAGTCTCCAAAATTGCACTGGACTTTGCTGTTTGGGCGGGGAGTAAGTGCAGCAATAGCAGCCCAGAGACATTCGAGCAGTGGCGTCAGCTCAGTGATAAGCTGATTATATTACACGATGCTCAACTGGATTATCATCCGCAGCACTCGGGCTACACACTCGGCGAAACTGTGAAGCAGGCGGACACAATACTGCTCGGATATCCACTGCAATTCGATACCAGGTGAAAGATCACATAGTCCGCCTACCATTAACTCATAGAGCCTCTCACAATCTGCGCAGCTCCACGCACCTAAATGATTTGCAATATTATGCGAATTTTACACGCGCCACTGGCCCAGCTATGACCTGGTCCATGTTTGCGGCCAATTATCTCTCGACGAAGCAGGATTGGCGTGCCCATGAGTACTTTGCCCGTGGCTACCAGAACTATGTACACAAGGAGTTCAAGGTGTGGAGCGAGGTGCCAATCGGATACAATGGCTCCGCCAATTTCCTAACTGGCATTGGTGGCTTTCTGCAATCCCTAATCTTTGGCTATGGCGGCCTTAACTTCGCACGAGCGGGCGACACATCGCAGCTGCAGCTCTCAACACCGAACGTGCCGCCCGATGTCCATCAAGTCCTGATTAAATACATCAAATTCGCCCACAGCAAATGTGTTTGGACTTTTCAGTACAGCAGCTCCAATATGATCTGCACGGGCCAAGCTAATCAGAGCTTTGAACTTCTTCAGGGGAATCAGCGTACGCCATTGGGCCACAGTTTTAATGGTAAGTTCATTTGCACTGCTTTAGCTTAAGTCTATCTAAAATGTTGCATATTCTTTTAGTGACCTTGAATAGAGGTGATCCGACTATGCACATCAATGTGATCAACTAATCACTACGACAATTAGACAATATTTTCCATCTTAAGAAACAGCAATATGAATATAATTACAATTTTGATTTCATCTATACAATATTCAAAGATATTTACGTTGATATCTTTTTCAACTTTCGAATATGGGTTATTATTACTATTATTTTCAGAATAAATGAAATTTCTTAATGTCTCATATTACCTCTACAGATATTAGAAGAATTAAATGTGTTTGCCCATAAATATTAGATATTTTTTTAATTGTTAGTTTCCAAACATTCATATAATCTTGGTTTGGTTAACATAAGAACTCACATTTTTAAACAATATTAACAAATTTGAATTTCTTAAACAATATATTCCTTTTAAAATCAAATTTGGAACATTTCGATTTGAATTCGAATAAAATTGGATATTTATGGCTTTTTTGTTACGTTTAAGAATATAATTTTAAGTTATTGAATGTGGAGCAAGTTGGGATTTTAAGAGACTTTGTTGCATGGTTCTGAATTCTAACTTATGTGTGTATCAACTACAATAAGCATTTAGGTTGTGATTTGGAAGTTACTATTGCATTTGGTTGTAATCATTGTTGGAAAATGAATAGACCAACAGTTTACTTAAACTTAGATATTGAGGCGCCGCTAACGCCAGCGGTGGTTTTGTTGCTACCACTAAGCACCACATATGGGGTCTTAGTTTCCTTTTGCTTCTGCTGCAGCATAGTTAATGTGCACAAGGGGGTGTCTGTGGAGCTCATTGTCTTCATTAGCTGTAATGGAAAAATATTTCAAATGTCTTTCTTTAATATCATCAGAGTAAAAACTTACGCCATCTTGTTCCATTTTTTTGAGACGCTTCTCAATCTTATTTTTCCCTGGCCCCTTGCCATGGAATTTGTGGGACAAATAGCGGAAAGCCTCTTTGAGGTTCAGGATTCGACCATTGTCATCAATATAATCAAGTTTGACATTGGGTTTGAAAGTTTCTTTATCCTTGAATTCCATAATAGGACCCGCATGAAAACGATCCCGACGTCCGATTTTGTCATCCTCGCTGGTAAAAAGAACATTCATTCAAATATCTAAATTAATGCCAATTGAATTCACTTACCCAGCTGCTTTATCTTCAATGGAGTAGTTCTTTGCCTGAAGATGCGCCATTTTTGTATTACTTGGTCGGTTCTTTTCCTCCTTTTCCAAATAGCCCTTAGATAGTGCCAAGCGCAGCGCATTTGCCACACCAGCACCCACATCAGGCTCTTCATCTAATATGGCCCTCTCTTCGACATCGTCGCCCAAATTATCCAAATCAGCCGGCTGCATAACTTCATCGGGATTCACCGAATTCCAGGTGCCATGATTTAACGTGGGCTCATCCATATTCGTATCCATGTGCTCATCCAAAGCCTCGTCCCTGTCGAAGTCCATCATATCATTGGAATCCTCGTTACGATTACCAGCCATGCCATAGGTGGGAATGTCACCCAACGTTCGGCAAAACTCCGCGGTGGCGTTGAGCACAATATTACTGTCGGCAGAGCCAAGCACAATTTCACCGGAGCCACTAGTCTCATCCACAGGCTCAGGCTTAACGTTGTGCGTAAGGGACGCTACGTCGAGGGGCAGAGGTTTTTTTATAATGTTTTCCTTTTGCTTAAGCTTGCGAGCCTTCGACAGAACACGCTCCAAATCATCATCGTCATGTTCCAGCTTAATTTCTGGTTTGGTCTCATCTTTCATGGGAACATCTTCATCGGGATGACGATGACTTCTATTACGACTGCCCAAATTTGAAGAGCCTGGTTCCTCAATTGGTTCCAAATCCTCTGCTTTTAGTTTTTGCCGCAATTTCTTAACTTTCTTCTTTGGCTTCTTAAATCTGCAAGAAAAACAAAGCTTATAAAATTTATTTAATCTATTTAATCAATTTAGCTTACGTTGCCAGCTCCTGAACACTAAAAGTATCAGATGCTAATTTCAAATGCGTGTCCTCTAACGTTTCCAAGCGCTTGCCAGCTAATTTTGTCTTGATCTCCAATAGCTTGCGTCTGTGCTCACGTTCCTCCTCAACGTTCTCTCCAATCACGAAGTTCTTCCTCTTCTGGGGCTTCCCCTCGATGTCCTCATCGTATTTCTCGAGGATTGCTCGTTCAATTGGATTACCTAGCTCATCATATTGCTCTTCATATACATTATAGCCGTAACTAAGGGGGTTAAGCTTTTTGTTGGATACATTCTTTTTGTATCGTTCATCGTCAAGCATGTTGACATTGACCAAAGTGTCACCTTCCTCCTCATTGAGAACGTCCTGATCCTTGAGAGTTAATATTACGGTTCGGCCTTCACCAAAGTCATCCATATCATGCTCAACACGCAAACCCTTCAAATTGCGATCGTTATAGGCCAATTGACGAGCTTTTTTCTTCTCTTCTTCCATAATCTCGGCAACACCGAACGCCTCATCAAGTTCCTCCAGCTCTTTGGCCTGTGTCAGTAAAATATTTACATCATTTGGGTTCCCATGTAATTGAATTTATGGTTTACTTACCTTACGCAATGCCTCCTCGCGTTCATTAACGACACGTTTGTTGCGGTCCACCCATTTGGCAACATTGTCCGTTTCCTCATCTGATTCGCCAAGTGTACGAATTCGTGCCAATCGCTCTTCAAGGAAACGTTTCTCCTTCCGTTGCTTAAGTTTTTCTCGCAGCTTTTCGGCCTCCTTTTTCTCTTTGATATTATCGGCAGGCTTGTGCAGGAATTCGCCCCATTCGTCCTTGTATGAAGAGAGATCCTTATCGGCGCCAGTTCTTTTGCTATCCTGTTGACTATCACCGCTAGCAGACGCTGGCTTGGTAGACCCCGTATCCACTTCAAGTGGCTTCAAGCCGAGCTTAGCACGCAACTTGTTTGTCTCTGCAATCGAAAGAACATCCCCGGCTCCATTTTCTGGAATAGGCGAATGACTACGTGAGCGCACACGTTCTCGTTCACGTCCGGATTCTCGTTCCCTGTTGCCACGTTTACGACCAGCGCTCGTCTCTCCTTTGGGCGAATGTGAACGTTGCCGATGCGCTTGATGTGGGGCTATTGGTGATTGTGATCGAGAGTTTCCACGCCCCCGCTCGCGCTCTTTTACTGCTCTCTTACGTGATTCGCGCTCACGTTCTATTTCACGCTCTCGTCGACGCTCGCGCTCATAGTCCAAATGCTTGGATATTTGTGGCGGTGGTGGAGCTGTTATTTCATGATCTCGATCTCGTGTCGATAGCTCACGCTCCCGAGCTGGCGGTTCGCGATCTCGGACATGTGTGTCCCGTTCTCGAGTGGCTTGTTCGCGCTCTCGAGCAGATGGTTCCCGCTTGCGAATAGGTGCCTCGCGAGCTGATGTATCACGTTCTCGTACCAATTCTATTTCCCTTTCTCGAGTTGGCACATCTCGTTCCTTAGCTGACGATTCACGTACCCTTGCCTTTGCAACTTGTTCGATTGGCACCTCCACACAGTCGGAACCTGTAAAATAAAGTGAACAAGCTTAAATACAGCTTCAAAGTCATCTTTATCTGCTCAATGGCTTGTTAATAAAATTTCAATTCTTCGTTGCATTTGTTGCCCTCTCTTCTCACACTCACAGTCTGTATACCTGAAAGCAACAAATAAAGAGAAGAAAAGAACAACGAAACTTTAGTGAGTTCTGATCGCAGAGAGTGCAGCCCCAGAGCAAATGTGTGGCACATAGCACATAGAATAAACCCAATAATATCGCTTTTCGTGTTTAGATATTGCATGCCGGTCACGCAGTTACTCCTTCCATGGGGCTGCACAGTCAACTAAATGCTACGCTACTTACTATCAGAATCCGACTCCTCCAGGGATATAACCTCGCTAGGTCGCTCACGCTCCTTTTGCTTGTGGTGCTTGTGTCGGTGCTCCTTGTGTTTCTTGTGCTTGTGGTGTCTGTGGCGCGTCGACGTCGAGTCGTCTGTGAGATCCAGAGTAACATCATCATCCGTTCCACGTTGTTGTCGTTCGCGTGAGCGTGAGCGATGGCTGTGTTTCTTCTCCTTCTTATGTTTTTTCCCAGACGAGGAACCCATTTTAACGATTTGTTGCTACTTTTGTCAACTTTAGAAATTTTATAAACGTTTTCGCTGTATTCTTTTTTCTTTATTATGCTTCGGGAGTTTTTCAACACTATATCACGGAGTGTGCGCAATATTGCAAACAAATGTATCGACGATGTAACTTATCGATTAGGTATCGAGTGTTTTTTGATTATTTAAGCACCAGAACTGATGAAAATCTACAGCTGTCTGGCAGCACAGTATTATATTATTAGCGGTATTTTCAAATTTGAAAAAATGGTCTACATCAATATCTTTATTTTAATTAAATGTGTATATATTTAATATATAATTTTTTACATATATATATGTATGTAACCTAATTTCTGAGAAATGCATAAATTTTAGTTCTGATATATGTATCTTAATTAACGCGATCCCAGCGCCAAACTGTGCTATCATCACATACACAAATCAAAATAGATCCATCCTTGGAGAATGAAGTTTGTCTAATGGTTGACGTGCATTTGGGATGTACAAGTTGGCTGCATTTGGTCAAGTTCGGATCATTTGAGTCCAGCTCCCAGACAAATGTTGTGCCCAGCTGATTGCCCAAAGCGAGGACTTTTTGCCACGCATTAAACGCGAACCGCACAAACCAAATCTCGCACATTTTATAATCGAAATGATGGAGAACAGTTGTCGAATCCTGTGGCTTGATCTCATGGCGCTGTGCAAACAACTTACCCGGCTTCCAGCACACAATCGAGTTCTCACACGACTTGGAAAATATAAAATCACCAAACCACTGAACGCAGTCCACATAATTGCGATGAATGTCTCGAGTGGAGAAGTCTGGAAAATGCTCCTTTATAGTAGGAAATGGTGCCGTATTTTTGCTGGAATTAAAGCTCGAGCTTAGCTCAATGGCCTCCTTAATTTCGGGCTTATTGAGGCGCCAAAGCTTAAGCGAATGATCCATGCCGCTGGACATAATGCGATCGCCTCTCAAATCGAAATCGATTGATAGCACTTCGTCCCGATGGCCCTCGACGCCGCCGAAAACAGCGACACAAACATCCGTTTGTATATTCCACAAGCGCAAAGAGTGATCCTTGCTGCCCGAGAGCAACAATTGCGGTAAAATTGGATGAAATTTCAATTCATTTATCGCATGCCCATGGCCAATATAATTCTTCGCGCACTGATGCTTGATGATATTGAAAATACGTATTACGCCACGATAACCAGCTGCTGCCAGAACCGGATCACCGGTTGCAGCATCATAAGACCAAGCACAAGTGTAGAAACTTTCATCTGTCTGCAAACAAGTTGGATATGTAATCAAAAAGTATTTATGCATATTTATAACGAACATACATCCGGATCTGCATAAACCTGCAGCAAACGTATGGTGTCTGCATCGCCAGACTCGGCTTCAATATTATTTTTAACGCATTCATAAATAGAGACACGATCTTTACCCACAGTGGCGAACACGGCTTGGCTTCTATCCAGATGGGGATTGAACTGAACGCCAAATATTTGATGATTGTGATCCTCGCGCACATGATGGCTGCAAGAGGAAGATATTCAAGTAGATAAAACAAGTTCAATGCCGACGCTGGTACTGAAATCACCTATATTTGTATGAAGGCTGCACCATTTTTGGCACCTTCGCCCGTCGACACAATCTTCTTAGTTTTCGTGTATTAGGGGATTTGCTTTTACTGCGTGTTGTTGTTGTTGTTGTCGAGCTAAAGACGCTGGCCGAGTCCAGGGAGTGCGTGTCCTCGATATCGACAATGGGTATAGCCACCGGGGACGTGTCAGTTATTTGAGGTGATACTTCGGATGCTATGACATCTCCTCCAATTACTAAATGTTCCTCTTTACCTTCGCTAGAACTATTTTCCGTCATTGCGCCACTCGCCAAATTGTTTACTTTTTTCGCACTGCCGCAGCGTTGCCACCTTGCTAGGAGAAAAGTCCTAAACAAGGTCCAAATAAAATACCAATTGGCATTCAGCAGCACAACATATATATGTATTTGGGGCCAGAGAATATAAAAAGACGGATTAGCATTAGTATCTCTATTCACAAATAAATGATTTGAACTTTCACTAAACCGATTGTTTGTTTGTTTGCACAAGAGATGCCACCTTGCTAACACTCATCTGGCAAATTTGCCAATTTAAATAAAATACTGCATTATTTTATTTTATTTACTTAAATGTTTGATATGATATGGGTTTCTAACGACGCTCAATCTGATTGGCCCTCAGCAGCTCGTCAATATACTTGTCCACTTCCTCGTGAGCCTTTAAGCTGTGATCTGTGCGCGAGAATATCTCATTTATGAAACACATACGCAGCAAGTCGGCCTTTGTTTGCAGTAGTTGCGCCTGCGCTTGCTGCAATTTGAGCTCATGTCCCAGATGTGGACCCATTTTTAACTCGGCAGCCTTCATCATAAGCGCACACTTGTGCCGGGCCATATGCACCAACTTCTCCAAGCAATCACGTTGCTCCTTTTGCAATCTAATTATTTCTTGCTGTCCTTGCGTTAACTGCGCCTCCTCTTCCTTTACCAATGCACCCGGCAGTTCAGCACGTATTTTATCGCCCAACTCTGCGATTGGCGTTAGGACCGTACGCAAGTTATCTGCCAATTTGGTGCGAACTGCTTTACTGTCAATATAACTGAGAGGGGGACATCTACTACATTCCTGCAAGTCTATAAAATTGTGTGTTTAAGGTGTAGAAAACAAACATATCTTACATACATATGTATAAACAAGCACTTTTCTCTTACCTAGCAAATGCTCCTGATCATCACCCAGACGTATATAATCGGCTACCGAAACCAATTTGACAGCTCGTTTAATTTCTGGTGTCTCCTCAGGTCCAAGATTTAAATTACGAATTTCATTCAATATTAACTTCAGCTTTAAGACTTTTTTTAGCTCTAAGTCACGTTCCTCTAATAACTCTTGGGTCCCAGTGCCCATCATCGTGTTAGATTTATCATCAATTTCCATTGCAGATTCTTTTACTCTTTCTTTCAAACAATGCAGCGCAAAACTAGGCTGTGACGATTAGTGTTGAAAAACGAATTTGCGGCATCGGCTTTTCTTGAGACTCTTGGACTCTTGAGACACTATAAATTATCGATACCGATCGAAAGCATAATTAAATATTAATTCCGTCGCAGGGTCACATTTTCCGTAATTTAAAAAATAAAGTATTTCTATATACATTTAATAAACTTTGAAATTTGCAGCTTTAATTTTAATATCACTGAAAGACGACTTGAATATTGAATTAATGCTTCATTACGCGAACAATAAGGAAAAAGTGAGTATTTTAAATGGGATAGCGAGAACTCAATAAATGCAATCAAGTTTCAGTGCTTGCTTCATTAAAAAACAGTGTTTTATGGACGACGCTTGGATTAGTGGGTGGAACAATCTTCAAGTATTTTACATACAAAGGGAACTCAAATCAGGAAGTTCTCGAAATTTTGATGTTCAACGAGCTGAGCATTAAGTGTCCCAACAGACATTTTAAGAACAAGCCTTCGGATGGCTGCAACAAATATTGCAGCAGGCGTCACATACAACAGATCATTCAACAAATCGATCGGGCCGTATATTGTATAGACATTGCCATCTACACATTTACCAACGTTGAATTATTGGCTGCATTCTATCGAGCGTTGAGTCGTGGTGTCGTAATACGCGTTGTTACAGATCCCGAAATGGTTTGCACTTCTGGCTCCAAAATCTTGAGCCTGTTCAGGTCCGGTGCTGAGGTTCGTATGCCGGAGACAACGGCTATGATGCACCACAAGTTCCTGGTGGTGGATGAAGAGTCACGTGTAAAGCACCTTCTGCAATTGAAGGACAGACAAACTAAGCCACAACCTTATTTTGGTATTATGTTCTATGGCTCCGCCAACTGGACATCTCAAGGCTTTAATGGCAACTGGGAGAACGGCATCATTACCTCCGATAAACTGTTACTGAATCAATTTCAATCAGAATTTGACAGAATGTGGGAATCCTTTAAAAGTTATTCGCCACCAAACAAAACAAACGGGCTTAGTAATCAATGTACATAGTTTATTTACTTAATCTAATTATTCTTAGAGTCAAGACTACAGTTATAAAATATTTTTCAACTACTTGGCCTGTTGTTTTAATTTTTCCAGTCGGCGCGTAAATGTCTCCTTTAATGCATTCAGTCTTTCCAGTTCTGAACGCATTTCTATATATTCCAAATACGAAACTTCCGATTTGAGCAATATTTCATGCTTAAGTTTTAGCACGCGGTTGACTTCCTTTTGCTTCTGTTTAGTCTTAGTTAGCTTCACTGTGATTGAATTGTCTTTCGTTTTCTTTACCGTCTTTGATTTCTTAGATTTCTACGAAAAACGTAAATAGTTTAATTTAAATCAATGTTGATATTTTTATTTTCGACTTACTTCCATCCTTGTTTTGTTTTATTGTTGACGCTGGGCAGTTTGGAATCATCTGCAAATGTGTTTAGTTAAGGGGGCCATATTTTTTGATTACTGAAATAATCGATAAGTCAAATGTACGCAGCCGATAAACGCGTAAACTCGAGCCTACAAGAAATATACAAGAGCAATTGTATTTGTTGGGAATTGTAGATTCCGTGTTTTCTTTTATTAAATGAATGCTCTTACGGATAAGGTACTCGTGACCAAGGAGGCTCTGGCTGTGGCCCTGGGTGACAATTGGGAGAGGTATAGAACAAATATGAAAAATTGGTTCCGCAATCGTTGGACGAAGGAGGAATTCGATTGCGAGTGTCGAAAAATAATGACGCCCGACAAACTCCATTTGCACAATCAGTTCTTACTAGCGCTGCTCAATAAAATTGATGCATTTGCTGCTCCTGAAACAATTGCTACCCTACAGCCCACATGCACATCGAGCAGCCGAAGTGGCAGCGGCACAGCTGGCAGCAGCAGCAGTCGGAAACGCAARCGCAGCTCTCGCACATTTGCGGATCGCATCAATTTCGAGCTATGCGATATGCTGGAGTTTGTTAAAGAGGACAATATGCAGTTGATACGCCCGCCCACTTTAGCCGGTGACCAGGGAATGCAGCAACAACAACAACTGCCCACACAACGTTATTGCGCCCAAGAACTATTCCTGCCCGACGCAGGATTTATAATGGGACGCTTCTTGATTGGTGCCTGGGAGATTGGTTTGATCTCTGTGGAGGACAGTGTAGCCGAGTATGTGGCCATGGCCGTCCAGGTGCTGCTCAAAGATTTGATAGCATCGATTATTAAGAAACGCAAACATTATAAAACTACCGGCGAAGGCAACTTTTTCTACGATGTGGGCGCCCAGCTGCGTGATCCCTCGCTGCGCAATACAGTCACACGACAGAAGGTGGACGACACGCCACTAGAGCACGACAAAGAGCTGAACACAGCTAACTTTATGAGAAGACAAAACGATGACATTGTCTTTCTCTCGGCTTGCGAGCAAGTGTAAGTACTGGAAGGCTCGCAAAGTTCTGTTGAAGAACTAACTCTACTTTCTCATTTTCAATTAGTTTCCCTTGCGAGCGTACTGTGATCACGTTGAAGGATTGCCAGCGTGCTTTTAGGGACCGCAATCTAATTGGATCTCACACTGTTTACTCTCTCAATATGGAACGCTTAAATATGATGATGCATTAAAAAAAATGTACTCCAGCAGTATCTATTTATGATATTCAATAACAATAGTTTCTAACAAAGTTCACGAGGCGGTGGCTTAAAGGGCACCTTTCCGGGAGCGAATTGTTCCGCTTTGAAGGCCTCTATCTCCTCAGCTGTAAGATCTTCCATGCGACTGTATATTGAGGAAGTAGTAGCCGGCTGTTGCAGCTGCTGTTGCTGTTGTTGCATTTGTTGAGTTGAGTCTGATTGCATTTGTTGCTGCTGCTGGAATCCGCCCGCTGGTTGAGTAAAAAATCCACTTGAGGATTGAGCGGCTGCTTGTGCAAATATGTTGCCTGTGTTGGCTGCGGCGGGCTGAGGCTTGGTGAACATTCCGCCCATAAAAGGTTGCTGCTGTTGCTGTTGCTGCTGTTGTTGTTGTTGTTGTGGAGCAAAGGCAACAGGTTGGCCAAATGGTGTTGCATTTGTTGGCTGTGCCTGTCCAAAGACATTGTTGTTGTTAGAAACTGGTGCTTGAGCCTGCCCGAAGGGATTCGGCTGTGGCTGTTGCTGTTGTGATTGTCCAAATATGGATGTCTGAGCCTGTCCAAGCTGTTGTTGTCCAAAGAGACTGGGCTGTTGCTGCTGTTGTCCTGCAAATGTTTGCGTTTGCGGCTGTTGCGCAAAAACATTTGTATTTTGTGCAGATGCGAAGAGGTTGTTGCCGCCATTACTAGAACCGCCAAAGATTGAGCTTCCCGCTGACCCGAAGCTTGGAGTCGCAGTCAAACCACTACCAAAAATATTCGAACTGCCGGAGCCCAAGGCGGGTTTGCTAAAAATTGAGCTGGATTGCGCAGCGAAAGGATTATTGTTATTAGCAGCTGGTTGGATTCCCTCTGGTGTTTCATATAACTTGATCATTACATCGAGTACTTGTGGGGGGAATTGCAGCATAAGCTTCATTTTCATTGTCGCTTCCTGCACTGCCTTGGTGAACTGCTGATGGAATTGATCGAAACAGTTTTGCCGCTGACTTTCATATGCTTGAAATCGAACCTCTTCGAAGGATTGATCTTCTATGAAGTTGGGTATATTGGGTTTATCTTTAAACGGCCCATACACGGATAAGGGCCACATTTTGCCATTGATGCAAGCTTCAACGTCTGTCTTCAGATATTGCCTAAAATTACATTTATGATCAAACTGAATCTTTTAATATTGCTATGTGCACTTACTTAACATCAAAATGTTCATTATGGCATTTTGCACCGAAACGGCAAGAGCCCTGTTGAAAAAAACGGCATACTCCCATTGTATCGTTTATTTCATATATAACTTGCAAATTGTAAAATCCAACTTCATCTTTTCGCGCAAATCAGAGCATCTTTTCGAGAATTGCCAAACAGCTGACTGCGCTTACGACACAATGCTGCCAACTTGTCTGAAACATTTTGTGTGCGCCGCTTTCATACTCATATGAAAATTGAGCATAAACTAAAATGTTTTAATAGTAGTATAGTAAATTATAGTACTTACAAATCAAAAGGAACCTTCAATTTATCCATATTAAACTATCCATTTATAAACTATTCTCGATATAATCGAAGTAAATAGTCATCGATAGATTATTTTACAGCTTCCGACTGTCTACGGTGTCATCAAACTTGTTGCTGTTAACAGCTGTTAAATAACATAAATATTTTAATTTGTTGTTGGAATTTGAGCGGGTTGGTCGTCGCGTCGGCTTGTCACGGATAAAATGTTGACGCTTGTAAATTATTGCAAAGATAAAACACACGCCTTGAGCGATCGCTCCTTCAACTAGTTTCATATACACTAAGAAACTTCGCTGTGTAAAACGCTGAAACAAAAAAAAGAGCAACTAGTCTCGGTGATCGTTTTGCGTCTGCGTTTCTGTCTCTCGAAAAGGGCAGACAGGAAAATTCAAGCCAATAAAAGATACATACTAAAAGCCGAAGTGCGCGAAAATTGTGTCTGCTTGTTTTTGCGTGTGCATATAAGTGTGTGCGTGTCTTGTATATTGTTTGCAAGAAGCTACTAAGCCAGTGATACTATATTATTGCCTTTAAAATTGTGCCACCATCTGCTGTTATTCAAACAATTAATCGCGGCTACGCTCTGCGTTTGCATCGGAATGCGGCAACATCAGCGACGCGCATGCGTTTTCAAATACATATCTTCGCAATTGTCACGATCGCGGAACTGTGCAGCTTAACGCACTCGGTGCGTCAACTGCTTTAGTTTGCTGCTTCTTCTTGCCTGGATTCCCCAAAACTGTGTAAATAGCATAGAAAGAGAAGCGTAAGGCAACTGTCAAGCAAGCATCACGGGGCACACATACTTGTGCATATGTATTACATACATACATACATATRTAGGTAAGTACACACTCCTTCCACCCACTGTCTATGCCCTGCCATTCTGAAACTCTACCTCTAACCATCTCTAACTGCCCGCCCACTTGCCAGACGATTTATAAGGCAAACAAAATTAACTCATAGGTTTGGATAGGAACGTTCCCTCCTTGTCTCTCGTTCCCATCTCCCCTCTCCATGAAGCCGCTCAAATTGCTCTATTCTGGCGCACTGTGACGCCTACTTGACTGCACATTGGGCGCGCCCACAACTTTTGTTTTTCTCTCCGGTTTCCATTGTTGCCCACTTGGCAAGACTTTAATAAATAAACAGTCCAAGATATTGAACAGATTTTCCGAAAGAAAAAAGAGCAAAATTAATTTTCAAGACAAACAGGCCACCAGCACAAAGAATAAGAGGAAGAATTTTACAGGCTGAAAAGGGTCAAACTTAAAACGACAATAACATCAATTTTGAGGCATTTATATGCGCCAATAAATTTCACAGTGAAACAAGAGACTACAACAACAACAAAAGAGCAGAAAAAGATGCACGGCAACGACTCAACAATAAGAGAGATCAAACAAAAAACTGCAGTCGCTGCCGACGCTGCTTTCGGATTTGTTATTGTTGTTGTTGTTGTTGTTGTTGGTGATGTTTTTATGTGCTGCAACAGGTAAAACTGATTGAGCAGCGGCCAACAACAAACAGTGCAGCATTTCGAAATGTAATGTGCAGCAAATCAATACGAAAATGCATGCAAGACAATCTGCAGTGAAAGAGAAAGAAAGAGATGGAAAGAGGAGCGCCATGCGGAGTTGAGGCTCTGGCAACCTGTTGCGTCGGCTGCTGCTGCTGTTAGAAATATGTTAAGTCAATTTTGTGTATCGATAAACTGTAACTAATGCTAAAACAGCATGCAGCTAACAACAACAACAGCCCTACAACAGTTATGCAAAGTTCGTTGTACGAGCTTTTTGTCAATGAAGTTGTTGGCTGGCAAAAAAATAAATAAATAAATAAAAACTTTCTTTTCCTTGTGAGCTTATCACGYAGCATCGGTGAATGCGTACACCGACGGCTGCTGCTGCCGCTGCTGCTCCAATCGCTGCTCTCTTTTCGTGACGTTCTGTGTGTCTCTCTTTCTTTCGTTTTTTCTTCTTTTTGTATAATTGGGCGGCTTTTTAGTTTTACGCGGCTGCAGCATATCAGCTTCATGGTTCATTAATGCAATATATAGGTTGCCCCTTTTACCACTCCCAGTGTTAGCGCTGCGTGGGAAGTTTGGAATGTAGTATTGGTGTGTCTGCCAGTGTATGTGTGTGTGTATGTTGTTGTCATCTTTGGGTCCATCTTTGATTTCCTCCCATTGAACGCTCAACTGGCCGCAACAAGTGTCCCAGTTTATGGCCACAACAGAAGCAACTAGAACAAGTTATAGTTTAACTTTCCTCTAGGCTTTTAGATAGTTTTCTTACGCTGCTATTGCCTCGCCTTCCCCCATTAACGTTGGCAACATTTTCCCACATACATGCAAGCGCACAGTAGAACGAGTGCTGTTGCCAACTTTTGCATTGGCGCGCCTCTAAAATGACAACGGCACATCAGAAGAGAGAGGTAGCCATCGGGAATGCTGGCTCTAGAGAATAAGAGAATTCTTTAAAAACATGCTTTACAAATTATTCCTTGAAATGGGTGAGAGTTAGAATGCAAATTTCACTGAAATCTAATGCCAATTTTAAGTTGGCTTAGTCGAAGATTTAATTAATAGAGCATAAAGCATCTCATGGATATCAAATTTAGCTTACATATTTTACAGAGGTAAAATATAAACTGTCATTGTTCTGTGTAAGGAATGCCGGAGATGTCTCATATAAGGTGCTAGAGATTTCTAAAACATTTTAGCCAACTATTTTATAAACAATGGCTTGTAAGCCAGTAAGTAATGGATGTGATAGGCACTTACCAAGATAGCAACCTCTTCTATTATATACTTCTACTTCTTCTAATGAAATAACAAGCTCAAGCTTCCTGTACTGAAGCGTCGGCATGCTTTAGTTACAGTTATATTGCATAGCCGCGCCGCATTTGAGCCAACATCAACTAGTTACCAACAATGCCCGCCTCCTAAGCATCAAGCCCCAAAGCTTTTGGTCAGCAGCGGATGCAACGCCGCTAATGCCATTGTCTGTGTGCTCTGTGCAGAGAATGTTGCAATCCAATGCAATGCAATGCAATGTTCATCATTTTTGTTGCAGTTGCTGTCAACGTTATTGCTGCTATTGCTGCTGCTGCTGCAGCTGCAGTGCCTTCTGCTTCTGCTGCTGCTCCTGCTGCCGCTTTAGCTGCGATAAACATTGCAGAAATTTACATAAAATGTTACTGCACATAAAACAGCGGCTGCGAAATTTCTTTGGCTTAGTTGTTTGGCCAAAACTAATATCGCATGCACAAATTAACATTAACACTTTGCTTGCCGTTAAAAAACTAGTTTTGTGCTGAGCTAAAACACTTAAACAAAAAGAAAAAAACAAAAACAAAAATAGTGCCACAAAAGTTGTGTTAGAAGACAAGAAAGCAGAATCTGAATTATGTCAATATAGACGACTTTAAAATGCCCTATAACGTCAACAGAAAGAGTTTTTGAGAATGTCAATTGAATTATTAGACTAATACATTCATATTACAGATAATACGAAATACTTTATTATAAGCAATTCAAAATGCTTATTCGAAAAAAAAAAAAAAAAAAACAAACAAACAAAAGGTTTTATTTCTCTTTATATATGTATGTACCTCATGTACTTTATTATCGCTTGAATACATCTTACTCATAAATCTGATGATAGCCGATTACTACAGGGTATTCATTGATCGAAATGACAGCATCAAAGCAGTACATTTAGAAATTAGAAAGTACGTGGAACGTTGCTGTGTTAGTATAACTCGATTTGTGACTGTCATAAATGGCGGAAATTGTGGGTCTCAACATAGTCGCCACAGCCTCGGCTGAGCGGTTTCAGACTTTCTTGCTTACTTTCCACCGGCACTGCGAGTGCCACACTGCCACTGCCACTGCCACTGCCACATTGCCACTGCTTTCAGCTGCAGATTGCTTTAGTCTCTCTTGGCTATAATGTGTGCCATCCGCATTTTGTTGTCGTTAGTTAGCTGGCTTGATGCAGCAATGAAGCGTGCGTTCGAACAATTCTGCATCTGTGGCAGCTATTAGGCTGCCCTCGTTGATAACGTGCGGCCCTTTGAGTATGCGTTATGTGAGGTGGCCAAGAAGCTATACATGCATTTTGCTTGCCTTCCATATTTTTTTTTTAAGTTTTAAGTTTTATTTTATGACTTATTCAATTTGCAGCGATAATGAAAACCGGCTACAGCTCTACAGCTCTGTGGCAATACCAGAGCAGAGCAACAATCTACGTTCATTAATACCCTTAGTGTGACTTGGATTTAAAATCGAGCAGCCACAGCATCCGACAAGACTTCAACCAGGTTTTGAGCGTGGCACAGCTGTTGAAAGACGATTCACAATTCCCTCTCTTTCATCTTAAATCAACCATGGTTCACTGGTTTCATATAAATTGTTGCGTGCGTATTAAATTACCTTTTGCCCAGCCTCTGTACTTTTCATTTTTTGCCCGCTGAACAGTATATTATTAATTTTATAAAGTTGACTTTATATAAAGCTCAATCGAAAGGGTTAACTAGATCTAGGGGGATTGGAAAAGTACCTTTACAGCACAGTACAGCATATGATTGAGATATATTTTCTGTAGATTCACATCAGCTTTATATATCATAATATAACTATCATCTACATCTAGGTTGATATATAACAGTTAGAATATATATGATTTCACATATGCTGGCATCTACATAACTCTTTAAACGTCCTTTAATGGCATTACAAATCATTCAAATCCGGAAGTTTCTGTTGCTCAAAGGCGACCGACCGCATTATGCTTCAATATGAATTGAACACGTCGCGTAAGCGGCT